AAAAAAAAAAAAAAAAAAAAGAAAAAAAAAAAAAAAATATATATATATATCTCTCTCTCTCTCTGAAACCAAGATCAACGGGAAGAAGCAGCTCTCCCATCGATAATTAAACCGAGAGCTAAGCCTGAATGGTTGGGCCAACATACTTCCCTGGCCGCATATACAGGTTATGTGGAGTTTCTATCTCTGCAAGCCATGCATAGTCCTCTTCGTTTCCATCCCTTATCTCAGCTCTATTTGCTGGGGTTCAAATGTTGCAAGTTTAACAACCCAATTCAGCTAATCAATACTTCTCAAAAATATAAGTTCAATTTTAAATTCAAAAAAATGGTGCTTAAAGTTTCAAAGAGCCATATGGTTGGTTCCCAATGCCGTTTTTCATCTTTTTTTTTTTAAAACTAGGCGCATATTGTTGGTCATACACTTCTAAAAACGTCCTTTCCTTCAAGCGGAAAACTACATTGAGGACCAACACTACTGAAATTTGAAAGTTTAGGGAGCATTCCTATTGAATTTAACGTTTAGGAATTAAAATGAGACTTGAGATAGTTTTGGGATCCAGAAGCAGGATACAAGTGAGAATTCTGAGTTACCTACCGAATGCAGCGTAAGGATAATCATGATAGTAAGTAGATCTTCTGCCCGCATCTTCTCTATAAGGAGGTGTGAGAATGTCTAGAACAGCACATGGGGTAACCGCTGTGAAACAATGCAGGTTACCCCCAGTCTTCGGGTACAATACTGATGTGTCACAAGGGGCTGTTAAAACTTCATCAGCTACCAGTTTTGCCAATCTAACTACAAAAAGAAAAAAAAAATTGTAATAGTTTTTCCTCTTATCTTGAATGTCAAAACTAAATGCAAATAACTTTATCAAATCTTGCTCATAAAATCTGGCTTCTCAAAATCATATAGCTATCTTATTCATAACTAGACTCTACTGCATATAGGCCATTGCTTTTTCAGTAAATAATTGCATAGTCGAAACAACAGTTGGCGACCACACCAAGCATGGCATGTAAGATAATCCTACTAAACATTTCACAGTAACTGGCTCACACAGCCAGCACAAATAGCATACTTATCACCTATATTTGATATCAATCATCAGGTTCGACAAAAATTTCACTTTTGCACTGCACAGTCCATATAACATGGAGCAGAAGTTCAGAACCCAACACCTGAAAATAAGTGGTTTTTGTCACATAATGAACAGTTGGATGGATTAATGTTCTAGCCAGACCTAATCATATTATGGTTCCATGATAAAATAGATTCCCCAAGTCTCCTACTTATCTTGCAGAACAATAAAGAATGATGGCAGGACTTCGTTTCATATATTAGGTTTTTGTTTAAAAAGGAAATTCTAACCGTGAACAACAATACCTGGGTTCTGTAATCACCAAATGAGGAATTCCATACCAAAGCCTGATAATTACTCTGGTGCCTACGAGTTTTGAAAGAGCGGGGTTGCATTTAATACGTTGGCTAACCTACGGTTAACATGATTGGAGTTGAGTTGGCAACATATCCTGGTTGTTGGTTTCACAGAACCAAACTTGATCACTGATTCGGAATACTAACACGATTACAACTTCCTTTATCAAATGAGCTTTACAAATTTGAATGTCATGTTCAAAGAGTCTTTACAAGAGTAACTACCAGGGAGTTACAAACACACACAGTCAAGCAAAAATTGCGAAGTCCAACTAAAAACCAACTGTTATTGATCAACCTGAAATGACATTAAAGAGCAGACCTGGAAAGTAAACTGGTCCCTTGCTTTCCCGGAAGAGGGCAGGCTCAACCCAATCATAAGCTTTTAGATGCAAAGAGCCATAGAGAATTTTGCTAAAAACAGTCATCCCGGGATGGTCATGGAGTGGTATGACTGACGAAGTAGGGAAACAGAATATACACATCTGCATGAAAATCCATCAATTGATCCTAAAATTGAAAATCATATGATGAACATCATTTATGATGAACAACTAAATTATGCAAAATCATATTTCCTATGAAAGTGTTACTCAGAGAATAATGGTACAGAGAACTACGTAGTACAAACAACACAATTATATACAAGGATATGCTTACAGAGCTAAATTTGAGTACACAAATATGCCGTTAAAACAAAATAATCTAATAGAACCAATGTCTCTAGTAAATACATTTTCAAGTTTCACTTTTCTGATTCTATAACTCAGTCAAGAATCTACAATTTGGAAAAGTAATGAGATGTTAGTACTTACCGTGAAACTTTCAGATTCAAATATATCCAAGTATGTTATTGGTTGAGCCAACCGAGCAACCCTATTTAGCTGGTCAAGACCAGAAAGTCCATGACCTCTGTCTTCATCTGGATTTTCCTCTTTAAGGCCAACATCAGCAGGACCCACCGTGTCTGTAAATGATATTATTAACGTAATAAGACTCGCACAAAGTCAGTACACTCGGCATGCCATTAGTTATAATGTTTAAACTGAAATACGCAGTAATGAAGAGTAAAGCATTGAGATGTCTATTAAATTTATCTTATACATACTAAAAAAACTGCCCAAACTTAAAAGTTTTCCTCATAATAGATGAAGTTAATATACAAAAATAGGAAAAACCAGCTTACAAAGCGCGTGTAACAAATGATTATTTTTTTAGAGTGTGACTTGAGTGTAGTTTTTAAGTTGAATTTGAGTCATAACTTGAGTTAAAGTTGTAACTTGAATAAAGTTGAGTAAAGTTAAATAAAATTAGAACTTAAAAGAACGTGAACTTGAATAAAGTTGTAATTTGAATTTAAACTTTTTCTGAGTTTTGTTGCAAAAAAACACCCTAAATATGTCAGGTAAAGAAGTTTTGGCGACGGTCGGTCATGAGCATTTGCTATGTTAGCAACCATATTAAAACAAACCATAAACTCATTCCATCACCAAAAATTGTGTCCGAAAGCTAACCTAGAGAAAAGCAAGGTTCTATTCCATTGGTCTTTCCCCATGTCAAGCAATTTGTAAACATTCAAGTGACATTTCTTAGTTCACTAGTTCTTTTTACAGCTTAAATCATGCTTTCAAAAGCAATTGTAGTCAGCACTTACACCATTAATTCTATAATTGACAGATATCCAATTTCTTCAATTTTCATTCCAAAATGTCAACACACCAGGTTCAATAAACTATCCCAAAATAAGTTTTAAACTCAATTGACCGCAACAAAACAGGGGAACATCTATTTATTTATTTATGTTTTAAAAAAAAGAGTACCAAAGAACCAGTATTTATGATGTCAGTGTCAAGTGCAATATAATTACTCAAATTCTTCAACCCACGTCATCAAAACACAAACCCAGATGAAATCTAAAAAAAAACCCACAATGCAGAATCACGCCAAACTGTACAAATAACAATTCTGAATTCTGAAAAAAAAACCCCCTCCTACATTGGGATGTAGGGAAATATTAAATATACCCAGAAGAGAGGAGAGTTTCTGGACAGCTTGTGGGTGCGGCGGAGAAGAAGCAGAGTGCGTGAAGGTGGCCTTGCAGAGGTCGTAGAGCTCCTGGATTTTGGGTGGAGAAAAGCTCTTCTTTGTCATGCTAGTCGTCTGCCTCCCAAACGCTCTACAATTCCAATTTGCTCTCTTTTGTACGGATAGCCATACCTTATCGGTTGCTTTTTGGAATTTTGCAAACATAATTGGTGTTGATGATTGAGAAATTAGCGAAAAAGAAGGGAAAGGTCTTTCGAATTTGTTTGTGGATTGCGAGACATACATGGGATTGGGGGGTTAGTGTTGCAACTTCAATTTTTATCATCAGATTTCGGCGTCCGAGTAGATAGATGCAAGTATAATTTTCACTCCCTAAGATGATTTTCTTTTACAGCGACCACGTCTTCAGATGATTTTCACTTTCAGGCTAGCTCAAAGGCTTTTTTGCGTGGTTGTCCCCTGACCTTTGCGTGATTGGCAATTCAGTTTCTGAACTAAAAATTGTAGCAATTGGCTCCCTCTAAACTTAAAAATTTGATGTATAGCTGGTTCAATTTATGACACCGTTAAAAACATTTTAACGGAAACCATGTGTGCGTCTAGGGATAAAACTGAAGTTTATTAAAAACAATTAATATCTTTTAAGAAAGTCTTTACGGTGAGATACTTAAGAAAACTTACTGGTAGGATATCATGTTTTAATTGTTAGATTAAGTTTTCAACGATAAAACTTACATAAGTCTGTATTAAAAATTTATAGCACACCGCACATAACTTTTTCCTTGCAGATCTTACCATTGAAAAAGTAATCTAACGATCAAAATAAGGTGTTCCGCCGATGAATTTTTTCAAGTGGTCTCACTGTAGAGAAAGCCATCTTTTAATTTTTGAAACAAAAATAAACTTAAAACGTTATAAAGAAAACCAAAACAAACCCCCAAAAAAAAAAGAATGAAACCATTTAATTCAAAAATGTGTTTATTTACGGAATCAATTAAAAAATACGAGAAAATTACAGAATTTTATCCTTAAAAGTGCATGAGTCTAAATTTGTACATTTTCTTCTTGATTAATATCTTTTTGCTTGTATAGTTATTGTTGCGTGATATTTATGCTCGCAAGTGCACGTGTCGCAGACAAGTAATAAAGAGTGAATAAGAGTGTCGATCCCACGAGAATTGAGTCACCAAAAATACGTGTTGGAAGTTATATAATCAACAAAACAAGTAAAGAGTGAATGCGGCAAAAATTCACTAAGATGATGTAAATAAAATGAATGCAAACTAAATGCGGCATAAAATGACTAACAATAACAAGAGCGTAATATGGGTTGTAATTCAATGGTGAAAATGGGCTAGGTCTACTAACTTCCCCTCAGTTGCAAGTCTGACTAAAAATGTTACCGAAATACTGCAGCATTTACTACCCCTGTTAACAGAAACTCCGTTATTGCATAAAATTCTTCCGAATTATTTATGACTAAGGTTCCTTAAACCATTTTCAGCATATTCCTATGTGAATCTAGCTTTCAGAATGCAGATTTAAGCCTAGGTTTCTTTAAGTTATGCAAGGTGAATAATATATTCCTATACCATCCACTAATCAACAACTAAGCAAGGTTATTGAACAAGCATCATTCAAGTTAGATCCGACTAAAACTAACCATTCCAGTATTAATCTTAATCTTGTATCCTAAAATTGATGGCCAGTCAAGAATAGAAATAGGCATTAACACACATGAATAAACAGGAATAGTAATTTAATAGCATATCAGAAAACAAATTGTTATTCTCACAACCTTGGTTTCATTAGCAAACCTAGCTAAAACAAATTAGTTCATAACGAGATTTACAAGATTCGAAGTTCCAGAATAATCCATGGCTAAATTAATAGCTAAATAACAAAAGAGAATTAAGCTAACAGAAAGAAGAACAAATTTCAGCTGGATCTTGGATTCCTCTTTGTCCAGCCTTGCTTCCTTCAACCTCCTGCCTTCTTCCCTTCTCTCACGTCTCTGTATTCTATTTTTTGGAGATAGGTACTCTCTGTATTCCCTCTTATTCTTAGCTCTCCTACTATGCTTTTCCTCTCTTGGTAATGTACTGTGTGTTTTCTGGAGAGGGGTGCTCTGTGATTTCTCCAGAGGGAATGCTCTCTGTCTCTCTATTTTTCAGCCTCGTATATCTTTTCCATTTCCTCTCTCTATGCTTTTGTACCTGGCGGCTGCCCTTGTTTTCAGAAAACATTCCTCTCTAGGGCAACAACAAGGGCTGAGGTGTCACTTGATGATGTGTGCAGTGGACCACAATGATGTCATCAATATGCTATCTGTTCCCAGAATGCTACCAGAAATGCCACAGCATTTAGCCCAAAAATTTCTTGCAAAGTGCACACACAAGTCTTAGTTGACTTTCTACCTCTTTTTAAATCAAAATCATCAAATTTTACTTCAAGAAGAGCATAAGTACAGAATTCAGCCATAGTAAGTATAAACTATAAAAATCTAAATTAAAACACAAAAGAAACTAGTAAAATCACTCTTGGTCAAGCAACTTTTGAGCTTGAAAACCATCAGATAACTCTAATTTCTTAGAGTTATCAGTTATTTAACTATAAATGTTATTAATCAAGAGTCAATAGTGAAATTCTAACCCATACACATGAGTATTTGTCTCATTTTTCTAATCAATAATGAGAGTTTTATAGGCCCACATAATATAGAGAATAGAGAAAGGACTAGGAAATATCAATCTTTTCATCCCCGTTAATACCAATTTTACTTCTCTACTTAATAAATTACTATATGAGAGATTTTTTAGTACGTTAACATATTGATAAGTCAAGTTTTCTTTCTGTCAAATCTACATATAATTAATGATTATTTTCATTATATAAAAGGACCTTTTAGTGGTTACATCAATAATATTGCTATTTACAAGATCAATTGCAACCCAACTCATTAACAACCCCGTTTACGGTTGTTGATTGCATTGTATGACACTCTCTTTACTATTAGATTACACACTACAAGTAGTGCACATAAAGTTTGTCCTAGCACAGATTTTCTCTAAAAGAATTAATTGAGGGCGAGGTAGCCCTAAGCCGTCTAGTCTCTCTCTTTTCTTCATCTATCTTCTCTTTTTATCAAATTCCAACGCTCTTTCTGTAAGATAGAATATAGGTGTTCATGAATTGAAATTACAATCCGAAATTAAACTATTGTATTTGAGAAAATTTCAATCCATTATCAATCTTAAAATTTGTCCAATCCAATTAAAAGCTATTAGATTTTACAGATTTGATTCTTCAAATTGGACTTTGAATTTGGGTTTTTAAAATTAAAGTTATTAAAGACTCATCTTTTCACTATTGAAAATGAAATAAACATATCAAAATAACAAATAGTTCTTTTTTTTAAGGAAAATAAAAAATTGTTCAATAAAATCTAATTCGTTAAACCAATTCATTACGACAAATTTGCTTCAATGTAACTCAAAATAAACATTGACATTGAAAAAAAAGTTGGTACATATATAGACACATATTACCAAACATTAACGAAAAAATATATATAATTATATATTATATAATAATTTTGAGATCCACTAGCTATCTATTTCGGATTTTAATTTTGCGATCCATCAGCTATCTATTTAGGTGTCTACCTAACAATTTTTCAAAAAAATAGAGACTTTCTCTGATATGCTGGTCTACTGGTAGGACCAATTTATGACTGTTGAATTTGATTAAAATTACATTAAACTGAAAAAGTATGTAAAACAGACAATTTCTAATAACGGTAGAAAAGTAGAGAACTACTAGCAGTTTAAATTTTTCAATCCCACCTGAGAAACTTCTAAAAAAATAAGGGATAAACTCATTTTAGTACCTCATATTAAAACGAAACGTGCTGTATTTTTAATAATATTAAAACGGTACATTGACATTTTTAAAAACATCTTCTTAATACTCTAAAACTAATTTTTAAGACATATAATGTCTAAATTACCTTTCTTATCATTTAAATAGAAATCAATATTTTTTAAAAAAAATCTAAAAATATTAAAATATTTAAAAGAAAACAAAAAAATAAAAAAGTTAGTAATTTTGTTTTTGTTTTTGATTAATTAAATAAAAAGCTACTAACATTATTTTATATTTTAAAATTAATTTTAAGATATTATAATTCTTTTTATTAATATTGAGATACCGAATTAATATTATAAAAATATAAAATATTAAAATTATGTTTTACTATAATACAAATTACTTAATGATTTTATCTCAAAAATAAATAATAGTAGTTATGAGAAAACGATAAAGATAACGACGAAAGAAAGAAAATTGAAGCGCTCCCCTAATGGCGTTGGCGCGAAAATCGTCTTCTGTGCGGGAAGAATTGAAAATCTAATCTCAGCCATCTCTTCTTCTTCTTCTTCTTCTTCTTCTTCTCCTTCTCTCAGAACTGCGTCGGAGTGTGAAAATGGAAGGTACCGATAGCGAGGCCGTCTTCGATTCCCTGAATCTAAACCCGCAGCTTTTCATCAACGAAGTGTTCAACACCGTCGACGATTTGGTCGACGAAGCTTTCAATTATTACCTCGAGTAACTCTCTCTTTAGATCTTATATATATATATATATATGTATATATAGATCATCTTTACCAATTTGTGTTGTTTTCTGATTATTGTACTCCAGACAAGCTTCGTCCACCCTGAGAACTGACGGTACAGATAGAGCCGAGGATCTGTCCAAGGTATTTTACTGTTACTCAAATTTTTTTTTTTAAATGGTTTCATTTCTTTTGCATTGAGCCCTTGATTTTCATTTTTCCCTTTTGAATTTACTAAATTTGACGCATTTCTGATGATGTTTTTGTTGGACTCTTGGCTTTGTTTTAGTTAGGATACTCGATCCTAGGGTTTGCTTAGTTCAAATTGAGCACCAAATGGAAAGGTAGATTGTAAAATATAGGCGATTTTCAATTTTAGGGTGAAAAAGGGAAAGAATTGTATGTTTTATTATCTTTTCCCAGTGTTGTTGTAAATTGTAACAGCAGGACCAATCTTTATTGGATGTTTTCGTTTACATAGCTCTATCTATTTGCAGGGTGTTGCTCTAATCCGGAAAATGATTCAATCGGTTTTGGATAAGCGGCTGGTTATGTGGGAGGAGTACTGTTTTAATCACTGTTTTGAAGTTCCTGAGGGGTTTTCTCTGCCCAAAAGCGTATGTTCTTTTCCATTTGCTCGCTTCATTACTGTTCATTGTTCATTGGTAGCTTGCAAGCGTATTGCGTTTTCTCGCTTCGATATTTTATTTAATGATAGGTCCCAGCAAAGCTAATAGGATAATGTGAAAATAGAATTCTACTTAGGGTGAGAATAACCACAGAATTTAGTCTGAATAAACTTGCTTTCTTATTGCCTTGAAAAGAGTTTAAATACAAGGGGAAATAACAGCTTTTCCTAATTCTCAGATCATGTTTCTAAGAATACGGACACTAACGGCTAATAGCAACAGAGTAGCCACACTTATTAAGAATGAAAATAACATCTTCTTGACCTATTCTAATGGAAATAATAACTTCTTGACCTATTCTTAAGCAAGCTGGTAACATGATTCCACAACTTAGACCATGTCCTTTGAAACTTCTTCACTCCTTGCATGGCCCATTGTTCCTGGCCCATCCTTGACTACCTGCACGGCCCATGCCCAATGGCACTTAATCAAAATACTTTGGATTTCTCATGGGCGTTCTTTGAGATCTTCTTGGCCTATCAATACCCCCCTCTTTTATTGGAACCTTGTCCTCAAGGTTCAAGTTCAGGAATCTGTCTCGCACTTCCTGAGAGTTTTCCCATGTAGCATCTTCTGCAGGAAGTCTCTTCCACTTGACTAAGCTTTCTTCAATAAATTTGGACCCTTTTTGACCCAACGTGTGTCTAAAATAACTTCGGGTTCCATGATAAAATCTCCATCTTCAGCAATAGGTGGCAACTCCATACTAGGCGCAATGGTTTCTCCTAATTTCTTCTTAAGTAGTGAGACGTGAAAGACCGGGTGAATGTGAGACCCCTCTGGAAGTTTAAGCTTGTAGGCCACCTTTCCAATCTTTTCTTCAATCAGATATGGTCCATAAAATCGGCTAGCAAGTTTTTGATAAGCTCGTTTAAACACAGACTGTTGGCGGTAAGGATGTAGTTTCAAAAACACCATTTCTCCCCCTTGATATTCGATGTCCCGCCATTTAGAATCTGCTTGTTGCTTCATCCTATTATTTGCTGCCTGCAAGTTTCCTTTGAGTTGCCTTAATAACTCGTTCCGAGAAGCCATACTTCGATCCACTTCGTATATTGAGCATAAGCCTTCATGATAATGTGGAATGGTTGGTGGTCGTCCATATAGAGCTTGAAAGGGAGTCATTCCCATGGAGGCATGGTAGGCTGTATTATACCAGAATTCGGCCCTTGGGAGGAAAGAATGCCACCGTCGAGGCTGTTGATAAGCAAAACACCGAAGATATTGTTCAATACATCGGTTTACCACTTCCGATTGTCTGTCCGTTTGCGGATGATAGGTGGAGCTCATCTTCAATTGTGTTTCGGACATCTTAAAGAACTCTTGCCAAAAATGACTGATGAACACTGGGTCACGATCACTTATGATGGACCGAGGCAGCCCATGTAGTTTGACGATCCCTTCAACAAATTTCTTAGCCACCACCTTTGCTGTATACGGATGAGAGAGAGCTAGGAAGTGAGCTGATTTGCTTAGTCAGTCAACAACAACAAAAATTGTATTTTTTCCATTTGAAGGTGGAAGGCCCTCGATGAAATCCATTGTGACGTCGTCCCAAACTTGACATGGAATCGGCAGTGGTTGTAGAAGTCCAGCAGGAGATAAAGTTTCGGCTTTCATTCGTTGGCATACGTCGCAAGAGGCAACATAATCTTTCACTACCTCTTGTATATTCTGAGTATGCCAGAATGCCCCCCAATTGGAGAATCATGAAATTCCCGCAAGAGTTGTTTGATAATGCTAGAATTTGGAAGTACCATCACCCTATTTTTGTAGAGTAAACCAATCCGTGACGCCAAGTGTAAGGAGTGCCTGGTTGCTCGGTTGCTAAGTTGCTGATTTTCTTCATGTAAGGATGGTCACGAGCTTTGGCTTCAATTGTATCCCATAATGGAGTTTGAGACACAAATAAAGCATCAAGACTAGGACTTCCTGACACTCTTGATAGTGCATCAGTTGCATTGTTCTCTCGGCCTGGTTTGTATGTGATCTCATAGTCATATCCAAGCAATTTAGCCACCCATTTTTGTTGCTTAGGTGTTGCAATGCGCTGCTTCAACAAGTACTTGAGACTGTGTTGATCAGTGTGAATGTAAAACTTCCTCCCGAGCAAGTAGGGTCTCCAAGTTTGGATGGCTTGAATGATTGCTAGCATTTCTTTGGCATATGTGGACCAAGAGCGTTTGGTGGTGCCCAGGACTCGACTCATAAATACGATTGGCCGCCCCTGCTGAGATAAAACCGCTCCTATGTTGCCTCCTGAAGCATCTGATTCAATGATGAAGGGTTCATTAAAATTTGGCATGGCAAGTGTAGGAGTGGTGGTCATCGCCTTCTTGTGATCTTGAAAGGCATTTTCTGCGTCTTCGGGCCAGCCAAATTGTCCCTTTTTTAAGAGGTTGGTGAGAGGACGAGCGATGATGCCATAGTTGAGGACAAATTTTCGATAGTAACCTTTAAGGCCTAAAAATCCACGCAACTCAGAGACATTAGTAGGCCTAGGCCAATTCAATATAGTTTTAATTTTCCCTTGGTCCACCTTAACTCCTCGTGGCGTTACAATATGCCCCAGATACTCTAATTCTTGCTGACCGAATGCACACTTACTAAGTTTAATGAAAAACTGATGATGCCTTAATATTTCAAAAGCCTTTTGAACATGTTCAAGATGCATGGTCCAATTGGGGCTATAGATCAATATGTCATCAAAGAAAACTAACACAAATTTGCGGAGATAAGGACGAAATATTGAATTCTTAAGTGCTTGAAAAGTAGATGGAGCATTACAGAGACCAAATGGCATGACTAAATATTCGTAATGACCATTGTGGGTACGAAATGCATTTTTATGAATGTCTGAGGAATGTACCCGTACCTGATGGTGTCCTGCTCGTAAATCAAGTTTGGTAAAATAAGTAGCTCCATGGAGCTCGTCGAGCATATCATCAACTGTAGGAATTGGAAATCTATCTTTGATAGTTACAGCATTAAGTGCTCTATAATTAGTGCAAAAACGCCATGAACCATCTTTCTTTTTTTACCAACAAGACAAGAGATGAAAAAGGACTAGTACTAGATTTTATAAGCCCCAATTTTAACATGTCATGAACTTGTTTTTCAATTTCAGCTTTTTGAAAATAGGCATACTCGTATGGTCGCACATTGATGGGCTCGGTCCCTTCTTTCAAGTTGATGTGGTGATCTATTTCTCTTGTGGGCGGTAGTTGCGTTGGCTCCTGGAATGAATCTTCAAAATTTTCCAATAATTGTTTCATGTCTATATGGACATCCTGTGGTGTAGGCTCGGCTGTGGTTTGAAGATATTGCAAACAATGAGCCCCCTTGCCGTCTGTCCTTGGAGATAGCTTTCGTTGTCACAGGTTGAATTGATTGTGAATCAGTTCCTTCTAATCTGTGATTTTGATTGTTCCACTGAAATTCCATTGTCAATTGTTTCCAATTACACACCACCGTCCCTAATTGTTCCAACCAATGGACACCTAACACCAAATCCAACCCACTCAATGGTAAAGCATAAAGAGTGAGGAAAAAAGGAAAACCTTGGAGCAACACTTGGACATCCTCAAATCTCCCTTGGCATCTTAACGGACCTCCATTTGCCACCTTAACATTGAAAGGTTTAGTGGGAACTACTGGCAACTGTAACAAATTGGCTACTTTTTCACTAATAAAATTGTGAGTGGATCCGCTATCAATTAGAACAACTACTTCGTAGTGCCCAATTTTTGCCATCACCCGCATGGTTCGGTAAGATGATCAACCCGAAAGTGCATGCAGTGATATTTTTGGTTAGAATTCCATTTGGTCCATGGCCTTCTCCTCATCGGAAGTGTCAGTGTTGCCTTCTAATATGAGAAGTTGCGGACCACGACACCTATGACCCGGGGTAAATTTCTCGTTGCAATTAAAGCAAAGCACTTGTGCCCTTTTTTTCCTGCATTTCGTCCCAAGTGAGTCGCTTCATAGGTGAAGCTATTTTGGGTGTTGTCAGGGAAGGAGAGTCGGAAATTGACCGTTTAAAAGGTCGTGTGATTTTCCCTTGGCGTGTTAGTTGTTCATCTCTCATCCGTGCCAAGCTAATAACTTCCTTCAAAGACTTGGGTTTGAACATTCGAATGCCATCAGCGATCTCTGTTTTGAGACCTCCCATAAATGTCCCCACCAATGCCTTCTGTGTCCACCCTTGTACTCGATTCCCCAGCGTTTCGAACTCTTTTTGGTAGTCACGTAAGGAGCCCACCTACTTAACTCGAGACAAAACTTCATCAAAGTCCTCACATTCAGTGGGACCGAATCTGGCCCACAACTCCTCTTGGAAGATTGCCCACGTTACTTCCTTGTCTTCTTCTCTATAGGCTCTTCACAGCCATTGCCACCATTGATTAGCTTCTCCTTCAAGATGGAAAGAAGCCAACGATACCTTCAGTGTTTCGGCAGTGCTTTGGTATTCAAAGAATTGATCCACTCTTGTGAACCATTCAGTGGGATCATCTCCTGAAAATTTGGGAAAGTCCAATTTAGCTAACTTGGACGAGAACATTGGGCGTCCTCCTTCAGAATGCTCTCGGGGTTCTTCTCTATTAGCGCGGAAGCGCCCGTTACGATCGTTGGGGTTGCTGTTTGAGGCTTCGTTGTTTGAGAGCAATGCTTCAGATAGTTTGTGGATGGTGTCCTCCATTCGATGTAGCTTATCAGCAATGCCAAGCTCCATTCGGCTTAAGTTATCTTGGAGTCCTCCGAGCCCAGCTTCTAAGTTTTCTATCCGCTCTTTGTTGGTGGCCATCATAACGTAGCTCTGATACCAATGATAGGTCCCACTCAAAGCTAATAGGATTATGTGAAAATAGAATTATACTTAGGGTGAGAATAACTACAGAATTTAGTCTGAATAAACTTGCTTTCTTATTGCCTTGAAAAGAGTTTAAATACAAGGGGAAATAACAACTTTTCCTAATTCTCAGATCATGTTTCTAAGAATACGGACACTAACGGATGGCAACAGAGTAGCCACACTTATTAAGAATGGAAATAACATCTTCTTGACCTATTCTTATGGAAATAATAACTTCTTGACCTATTCTTAAGCAAGCTGGTAACATGATTCCACAACTTAGACCATGTCCTTCAAAACTTCTTCACTCCTTGCATGGCCCATTGTTCCTGGCCCATCCTTGACTACCTACACTGCCCATTCCCAATGGCACTTAATCAAAATACTTTGGATTTCTCATGGGCGTTCTTTGAGATCTTCTTGGCTTATCATATAATTGCATGTTGTTGTGCATAAGACGTTGATATTAGAAATGTATGTGTTTGGACTAGCATAGTCACTAAGCTCACATACCATTGTCAAATAATAAATTTGGGCATGTGTGGATAAACTCATATCTGTTTATCATGTTGCTATGGTCCTTAGGGTGATGGAATTATCCTATTGATGATTTTATTGCTAGGTATGACGCTTGAAGCTTAAGCTTATCATCTTTTGCATGTTTTAGGTATTCGTATTGTTATTTAACATTTTGTGTAATATGATTATTGTTAGTGATTATGCAGTCTAAGTGGAAAAATATTTGAAACAATTATATATGGACTTGCATAATTACTAGACTCATATCATGGTCAAATGAAGTGTTATGGGTAAACTTATATATTTACCATATTGCTAAGACAATTAACTTATCCTGTCTATAATTAATTGTTTGGTAGGATGCGTAGACTAGTTAAGGAAATTGGTTAAATGTCATGAACCTGTTAAGCCTCTTACAGGTACCCGTAAATTCAAAAGACCGAGATTGAGCGCTTGGTACTCGTTTTTTCGATGATATTTTAGTGTACAGTCGGAACATAGACGATCATGTCATCCACTTGCGAAGGGTGCTAGACATTCTAGGGACGCACCAGTTATTCGCTAATGAGAAGAAATGTGCATTCGGCCAATCCTAATTGGAGTACCTCGGCCATATCATCTCTGCTAACGGGGTTGCAGCGGACGAAGTCAAGATCTCGGCCATGCTCCATTGGCCAACGCCGACTACGCTGCGGGATCTGCGAGGTTTCTTGGGACTCACGGGTTACTATTGCCGGTTTGTGGCAGGTTATGGCACACTGGTTTGGCCGCTAACTCAGCTACTTAAGCGCGACAGCTTTTACTGGGATGCCACGGCAACAGAGGCTTTCTCCCGCCTCAAACACGCCATGACAACGGTGCCAGTGTTGGCCTTGCCCGATTTTACTCAGCTTTTTGTCGTGGAGGCGGATGCGTCCGGCCATGGCCTCGGGGCGGTTTTGATGCAAAACAACCGCCCCCTCGCCTACTTCAGCCAGACCTTCTCCTCTCGCGCGCGGTTGAAATCCGCCTACGAGCGAGAATTGATGGCTATTGTGATGGCCATCCGCAAGTGGCGCCACTACCTTTTGGGCCGCCGTTTTGTGGTTCGTACCGATCAACGGAGTCTTAAATACTTGCTAGAACAACGGGAGGTTAGCGCCGAGTATCAGAAGTGGCTCACCAAACTCATGGGGTATGATTTTGATATTCACTATAAGCCGGGATTGGGCAATAGGGCCGCGGACGCCTTGTCTCGCCGAGAGCCACTTCCTTCCCTTGCTGCTCCGTATTCCTTATTACTCGGGGACCTTGACGCGCAAGTCATGGGAGATGAGAAGCTTAAGGCAGTGGTTGACACCCTTAAACAAGGCAGAGTTGGGCCCGCGGGGTATAGACTCGTGCAAGGGCGGTTGTTATACCATAACCGGCTGGTGGTGCCATGTTCCTCACAGCTGGTGAGTACCATCCTAGCGGAGCTGCATGACGGCGTTATGGGCGGCCACTCAGGCTATTTGAAAACTCTTAAGCGGGCGCAGGCCTGCTTCTATTGGCCAGGGATGAAGCGCGATATTCACCAGTATGTTGCCCAGTGCACAGTGTGCCAACAAAACAAGAATACCACTCTGGCTCCTAGTGGGTTGTTGCAACCCTTGCCGATACCGGAACGCATTTGGGAGGATGTCTCGATGGATTTCATCGAAGGTCTTCCACGATCCGAGGGGGTCGACGCTATCTTAGGCGTCGTGGATCGGCTGAGCAAGTATGCCCATTTTGTGGGACTCCGGCACCCGTTCACGGCCCAATCGGTGGCAGGAATCTTCTTGAAAGAGGTAGTTCGCCTCCATGGCATTCCCTCTTCCATTGTTTCAGACAGGGACAAGGTGTTCATTAGCAAGTTCTGGACCGAGCTCTTCCGTCTTCAGGGCACGGTGCTCAAGCATAGCATGGCGTATCACCCTCAAACGGATGGGCAGACCGAGGTTGTCAACCGCTCCATGGAGACGTATTTGCGTTGTTTCGCATCCACCCGGCCCAAGACGTGGGCGCGCTGGCTTCCATGGGCGGAGTATTGGTATAATACTTCGTTTCACACGGCCACACGAACCACGCCCTTCCTTGCTGTTTATGGTCGGGACCCTCCCCATTTGCTGTGTTTTGAGGCCGGCTCCACGCCTTTTTCGGCGGTGGACCAGCAACTGCGGGACTGTGACGCTGTCTTGGATGAGTTACACCAGCAATTGCTTCGAGCACAACAGAAGATGAACCACCAAGCGGATGGGCATTGGCGGGATGTGCAATTCGAAGTTGGGGACCTTGTCTACTTGAAGATCCGCCCGTATCGACTCAAGTCCTTAGCTCGGCGACCTAATGAGAAGCTCGCTCCCCGATTCTATGGGCCCTTCAAAGTCCTCGCGCGAGTAGGATTGGTTGCCTTAGACTCTAGTTGCCCGAGCCTTCTTCTCTCCATCCCGTATTCCATGTCTCCTAGCTTCGTCGCGCGGTGGGCGCCACGTCTGTGATCTCCGAGCTTCCTCCCCACCTGTCTGAGGAGTACGAGTTGCTGATCGAACCGGAGAGAGTGTTGGGGTTGCGAACAACTTCGGCAGCAGGAGCCAAACCACTGGAGTTGTTGATTCAATGGAAGAACATGCCTCCTGCAGAGGCTACGTGGGAACCTTTTGAGCTGATTCAAGGCTAGTTTCCCACGTTTCACCTTGAGGACAAGGTGACTCATTGGGAGGGGAGTACTGTTAAGCCTCCTATTCGGTTTACTTATGCTAGGCGTGTCAAGCACGTGAGGGGGGAGAATCAGTTGGTACCTTAAGGCCAATTTGGGAAATTGTGAGAGTCCTGGGGATCTGTGTTAGTGTGGGGGTGGGTGGTGTGTGGGGGGGGGGGGGGGGGGTTAGGCAATCGGTGGGTAGAGTGGAACACTTTTCCAGGGAGAGAATTGAGCCTCTCGAACGCTCAATATCTATCTTCTTTTCTGTACTTTCCATTTTGTTCCAATTGCGATTACCATTAATACAACGCAAAGTTTACTTCTCTATTATCTTGCTTTTCTTTAAGTGGCATCTATCAGAACCGCATAATCTTTACTACATTGTGGTAGTGGATTGATGCATTAGGTTGTGATGTTTGATGAATTATCCTTATCTGCAAAAGAGTTATATACTTGCTTTGATACCACTTGTTGAAAATAATTTTGCCAATTTAGCTACAACATATCATAAGATAAAAGGTCGTGGGTTACCTTTAGAAACAGTGGCATCGCCGTCAAGTCGTCGAAACGTGCCAATGCAAAGAGCTTGAGAGTGATGAGCCGTCCTCTCCATATAGCCTCTCCACACACTATGCACAAGCGCACACAACACCTTCAACCCACAAAGTAATCCCATTACGTTGATTGAAACACTTATGTCAAGTGTTGTGGGGAGCTATTTGGTGGGTTTAGGGGTGTGTGTGTGTGCAGTGTGTGGAGAGACTCTATGTAGAGGAGGCTTCATTACTCTCAAGCTCTTTCCATTGACACGTTTCGACGGCTTGACGGGGATGCCACCACTTCTAGCATATAACACATGATCTTTTATCTTGTGATATGTCTTAGACATTAAATAGACATGATTATTTTCTACAATTAATTCGAACCGTTGGAACTGGAGAGGGATGGGTGTCTTAACTTCGTTTTAGATTCACAGTCCAATTATATAAGACATTGGTATGTGGAAACTGAGATTGGTTCATGCTTGTTCTAGGAAGTAGACTGCAAAAGCACCATTGCCATTGTGTACGAGCCACTAAGAAGTGAGGTGATTTTGACTTCAACATAACTGTGATTTGTGATCATTGAAGTATGCCCATTTTTATTAGCCCAATTGTTTTCCCTAAACATCTTGGGACCATGATCTCACTTTTCTTCAAATCTTTTATTACTTAGTTGTATAGTAACATTATGAAGAATCTTTTACAAGCCAAGTTTGACCAATTCAAGTACATATTGAAGAAGACAGCCTTGGTAACTGCTCTTAGCTCCTAAAATTATAATTGCATTGGAAAACAAGAAGTCCTTGTGCAAAAATTCCCACATTAGGGTTTGCAAATAGCTTTGCTTCGTAATCAGTTTCGTATGACTGTTTCATGGTAATATGGTATTACATAACTTCGTGCTTACTCTGAAAATGGCTACATAACTAAAATGTCACAATTAACACTAGCAAGCTCTCTGTTGCACCCTACTTCCTCTCACATTTCCCTAGCAGCAAAATTATTTTACTACTTATGACTAGTAAAATTAAGGTGGGTGTGTATGTGTCAGTATTAAATAATCTTTCTGGAAATTAAGCATTTTTTTCAAAATTTTATGGGAATGTCATGTAGTCTGGACTCCAATAGGAGTAAAAGAGAGTTTGATGTGCCTCTTACATGCTTTTTTGTGCAGAGTGGGACTTTTTCCTCAATTCTCTCACAACTTTGTTTAATCCAACGACACTTGATTTCCTCGTTCCTTGTTTCGAAGTAAATATTCTGTGTGCAAATCTAATTGTGGGGCATAAATTCAAAATCGAGTTGGAATTAGTTTGCATTGTTAAATTTACTGGTAAAATGTACACTAGAGGTTTCAAGGTTTTTTTTTTTAATTACGTCAATAGACACAGAAAACACTATGTTGCAATTTGCATATGTTAGCCATATTTCTCTTTAATTCTACTCATTATTATGATATTACTGTCGGAAATGATGAGAATGGATAACATAAAATGTCCAAGGGATACTAGTTAACATGGACAACACAACTAGATTTTTCCACACTTTAGGCGCACTTAAGATGCACTATTGATACTACTTTTTAAACTAAACTCAATTTTATTTTTCTTGGTTTTCTCTGTTTTAATATATGGTTGAACTTGCTTTTAAACTAAACTCAATTTTATTTTTCTTGGTTTTCTCTGTTTTAATATATGGTTGAACTTGCTTTTAAACTAAACTCAATTTTATTTTTCTTGGTTTTCTCTGTTTTAATATATGGTTGAACTTGCTTTAAACATTTCCTGCCAGGATGAACCACCCAGCAACAGTTCAGTATTGCAAGATGCACTCTATGATCCAAATCTAGATGCTCAGCTGGATTCCTTAAGGAACAAGCTTACCACGGTAATCATAATTCTGCTAGTTGTGAACAATTCTAGTTTGCATGCTATAGTGTGTTTTCTCTCATTTCCATTTTGATCTTCTCTGTTGTAATGCAACTGTATAGGTTGGTAAGGAATCTGCTGTGCTGAACCGAGAGCTCCGAGCATTGGAGAAGCAGTCTGTTGCTAGTGGCAATTTTGCTGCACTTATCAATGAGACATTGCAATCATACAAGGATAACTCTTTTGATCAAATGTTTCACGGTAATCGGATTTACCTTCAAGATCTGTTGCCGTGTACTTTAAATGCTTTGACATCCATTTTCTATCCTGGACATGTTGAGGATCAAGAGTCTAGGATGAAGTCATATTTGGATACTGCAATTTATGAGATTAGATAACTCATCTGGTAAAATTATTCTGTTGCAAAAAAAAAAAAAAAAAAAAAAATCAATACTCATTTCAGTTGAAGAAAAGTCATTTTTCTATTGAGTGGCAGAAAGCAAACTCGTTCTATAGTTTCTTATTTTTCTTGCTTGAGTTGACTCATTTTCGAAGTATTATTGTACTTGAAAATGTCTTACATGCATTTTGCCTTTTAGGATTTCTAACTTTATTTTTCTACAAAATAAATGACCAATTTTTGAATTTTTTTTTCATATGGTGCTGGTGGAGTTCACTGCTTGTTTTTTCCTCATCGCTTACTATATGTTAAAATTTTTATTGCTTTACCCTGTAACATCAAGTTCTGCAATGAGAAACTTGTTTTTTTAGTAAATTTGCTATGTGCTCTGCCTTTTCGTTTTGAAGGCCCATGATTTTAGCATTTAGGCTTGTTTTCGTATGTAATTATTTGTTCCTTTCTTGGCCTGATAATATTTGCGGAAGTTTCTGAAAAGTACAAAACTGAAAATACATGATTGCTTCCTACAGAGATGACAAGAATTGCATCTGAACTGAAAATAAAAATGGGAAAGCTGCAGACAAAAACAATGGAAGAAACCCGACAAAGAAAAACAGAGCGGCTTCATGCACTGAATAGAGATTCGTTCAGATTGGATTTTAGTAACGGTAATAGTTGAGTGATGTTTATATATGTGTTCTGGATATGTGCAAAAACAAAAGTTAGTTGGGATGACTAGTTTGCCTCGATGTTTGATTCTACCCTTTTTTGGTCAAATAAAAGGAAAACTAGCTCGTCAGTTTAGTTTGTTGTGTTCATCGGATTTTCATGATTCTCACTTCAGATGCTACTTTCTTTCTTGCAGGCATTGCTGACGTGAAGCTGGAAGACCTTCAAGGATTTTTGGCGAAGATGAAAAATGTGTGAATTTGACGTTTCATTTTAGTATGTATTGCAGTACAGCAGTTATGCTCCTGACTGGTTAGTGCTCAAGTCTTCTTTCTTGTTCCTCATTTAAAAAGCTTCCTGACTGGTCGTTAGTTAGTAAATCCTCGTGACTTTGTTTTTTTTAGCAAACAAAAAGGCCCTGTTGTTGTACGTAATTGTGATTTTTTTTTTTTTTGGAACGATTGTTAAGTGTGTCGTTTGAATTTTAAAGTAATGGCTTGGAACGTTAAAAGTAATCGCTAATAATGGCCCTGTTTGGCTCATCAGATGGAACAAAAAATTTGAACAGAAACTCAAATTTTTATGAGAAAAAGAATATTGTAATAGAAATGTTTGAATTGTAGATTAAACTGCAAACCAATCGGCACCAAAGTCCAAATGCTGGCTAGGCATCAAAAGAAAGAAGAAACGAATAGTGCTACTAATTGAGCTCTTAGACTGCTACAGGCCATTTGGACCATTAGCTAATTACAAATTAGTGTTTAGATGCACAAGTTTTGGTTCCAATTTGAATAATTTTCTCGTCCGTCCTTTTAGAGAAAATTGAGTCTATATTTTTATATTTATTCTTAATTAATATTTTTTTTTATTAATATAATTATTTAATTAAAAATAAAAAGTAAAAATTTAAATCTATATCATTTTAAAAGAATATTTATCTCATTTTCTCATTTTCCCACAATAGTGTGATATTTTAAAACCAGCCAAACCAGAAAAGCCGTAGATCTAGAAGGCAATCCAAACAAGTCTCCGTCGTGGTGGTTCAATGCTCTTCTTTTCTGCCCGTCCTTGGCTGCTAGAGATCTACAAGGCATGCTGAGCTACAAAGTGTGGATTAATTAAAGTGGACAATCTGGACTATTTTCTTCGCTAGAGAATTTTTCCTTAAGGCTTTCTTTGGAAGTGGGATTTTATGGGGAAAAAAATTTGAAGGAAGAGGAAAAAAAAAAAAAGACGGAAAAAAATTAAAAACTTTTACCTAGTTTGGAAGGTTAAGAAAATATATAGGAAAAAACATTTGAAAACTTTCACCCGAGGACGAATGCATCGCAAGCTCTGGGGGATGGATGATGGCGGCGCAGGCGAGACGGTGACAGATCTCGCCAGAGAAGAGAGATCGCAGCCGAGGACGACCGCCGCAGAAGACAGGAGGGAGATGAGAGGAGGAGAGAGAGAGAGAGAGAGGTGGGCGGGGGAGAGAGAGGGAGGTGGACGGAGGAAAGAGAGAGGGCGGAGGAGAGAGAGCGAGAGATGTCTGGAGGAGAGGAGAGAGAGAGAGGGCGGAGGAGAGAGCTGGGCGGATGAGAGAGGGGAAGAGGGAGAGGGAGAGGGAGAGTCTGCTATGAACTATGAAGAGGGAGAGAATCAAGAAATTAGTGCGAGGAGAGAGAGTGGTAAGTCAGAAAGAGAAGAGAGAAATTTAATTTTTTAATGAGAGAATTTTAATTTTCCCTTTAATTTTGGGTGGAAAGTTAAAATCCACACCTATAGTATAAATTTTAGGTTAAACTTTTTCTTCTAATTTTTTCTCATTATATTCCTATTTCCAAACATGAGAAAACTTAAATCCTAAAATCTAAGTTTCAAACACACCCTAAGTGTTTTTTAATAGGTTTTTTTGTTTTTTGTTTTTTGTTTTTTGTTTTTAAACGAAGCACATTACTCTTTTGAGTTGTTTTAGATCCTTAAAGTTGTACCTTGCTACCAACTTAGAGCATCTTCAATGTAGTGTCAAAATTTTAGCATTTGAGTTAAAATATGGTTCTTTAATACAATGTTGTTTTCTATGTTAAATTTGTCAAACTTTTTGCTTGGCGGTAAATTTACCATAAACTATAATAAATGTTAAATGGTTATTTAATTGTTATTAGTTGGTATATTTATTTTTTCACTAGATCATTACAACATTGTTCTTTAATTATTCTTATAATATTAAAGATTATTTTTAGAAGTTTTAAAACTTAATAATCATTAAAAAAAAGTAGATATGGTATTTGAAATAATATTATGTAATGAAGTTCAAAATAACTATCTTTACATTTTTTATGATTTTGCTTTGGTTTGAGAATTAATGACAAAATGTTAATTTTGTAGCTAAATCATCCTTTAGTAAAAAAAAAAAAAAAGAATGAATTACATTATTTATCATAGAAAATCTGAATATTCAATACTAATCACAAACAATTAATACTCATTATCCGATACTAATCACAATCAATCCAATACTAACATATTGCAAGTATATGTAATGGTGTTTATATCAATAAATGTTCAATTATCCCCCTCTCTTTGAAACTATGCTTCAAGCTCTTCAACCTTTACTTGTCGTATCCAATACTCTCCCAAAAGTAAAAAATTTACTGTAGCTCCCACAACTAAACCTAGATAATAAATAAAGACAACAAATAAACAAAATAACAAACATATCCATAAGGAAACAGAGAGACAATAATAGCTACAAGATACCGAACTACAATAGTAATAGAGGAACCAAACAATAGGCTCTAATAAGCCAAATCAGAAAAAACAACAGAATAAAAGCCTACATGCGGAATAGGCTCTAATAAGCCAAATCAGAAAGAACACCAGAATAAAAGCCTACATGCGGAATTAGTGGGGCTGTTCGGCTGTGGTGTTTTTGAGTGAAAAATTTAAAAAAAATAATTTGAGTTATAATTTTATTTGAATTTATGTTCTTTTAAGTTTGAATTCGAGTTTAAGACTAAAACTCGAGTTCAAATTTTCTCTTCAACTCGAGTTTAAAAACTCAAATTCAAATTAATGAACAATATTTTTTTTATTCTTAAAAATGCTATAACTTTTTTATTTTAATTCTGAATGAGATGATTTTTAATTCGTTGATAACGATAAGACGAATAAAACCCGACCCATATACCCTATTAAAATTTTTTATCAGTATTGAGTTTTTATTAAAATACTATCTAAATATAAATTTAAGTTTTGACTCACTCAAATACAAACTCAAAAAGGTTCTTATTTCAAACCATAACTCAAATGTACACAACCAAACACAAACTCAAATTACAACATGTTTGGTAGGGGGTTCATTCCTTGATTCGAATCATAATTTGTGGTTCGTTACAGTATTTTTTCTCATAAAAAATACACGTAAATTGAAAATGGTTCGAATCACATGGATTGAATCCTCCAACCAAACGTCCTAACTCAAATTATAACTCAGACTCAACTCAAAATCTACACTCAAATTATTTAACTTAAAAACATCAAAAGAACCGAGCCCTAAAAACTTGAAAATAGGAAGAGAGAGAGAGAGAGAGAGAGACAGAGAGAGAGAGAGAGAGAGGGGTAACAAAGACAATATCTCGTTCCCTCCACCTTAGTGTGTGCACACACACACATATACATATTGCGTATTTGCTTCCCCTAGAGTCACCAAAAACCACAAGAGGTACCGGGATTCTCCCTACTTTAGAACGTAACAATTACTCAGAAAACAATATTTGAAAGTTCAATTCCCACAAGGAAAAATAGATCCAAAAAGAGCAAGCTCCAAGGATCAAAACTCAGAACTCCAGCGATCCTTCAGTGCGATTCTCTGGTACAAAGAGGAAGAGACAGAGCTGAGCAACAATCTTTTGGTTAAACTTAGAATCCTTCAACGATCATCCCTAATCAATGTCCAATGCGAAAAAACTACAATAGACAAAATCCATCAACCAGACCGAATCCAAAATTTCCACGAACCCTAGGTGAGATGCAATTAGCGCCAAACAAACGAACCATTGTTCGGCGACAGCTGCGACTACATTGGGCCTTTTATGAAAATGAACCGTTTTCCGACGAGGAAGAAAGAGAGACAAGCCGGAGGTTGTTGAGGAAAACTCCAATGATCCTTCAATGGTGAACCGGAGAGGAAGAAAGTGACCAGAGTCTGACGATTGTGCGCGAAGGCTCCAATTGATTCTTCAATAGTGACTCGATCTAGTTCGCCGAGAACGAGAGAGTGCAGATTCCGGCGATTGTTCGTGAAAATTCCGACTATCCTTCACCAGTCCAGCGAGAGCTTGGGCAAGAGGGAGAGAGATAGAGATAGAGATCGGGGAGAGAGAGAGAGAGAGAGAGAGAGAGAGAGAATTAAAAATATAAAGCAATGTTTTGTAATTTAATAACAGTGAAGAGTTGCAACAGTGACAAAATGATTTTGTTGATATAAGTTTCACTCTTTTGTGACAACTTTTTTGTCACTAATTTTAATTATCAGTTACAAAAATTAAATTTTGTAGCTAAATTTTATAAATGTTTTGTTAAAATTATATTTTTAATTATTTAGTGTCAAAATTTTATCTACAAATAATAATTTGTGACTAATACTTTATATTTAGCTACAAGTTTTATTTTGTCACAAATTTATATTTGTAGCTAAAGCAACAATTTCTTGTAGTGGATCATGTGTGAACCAAACCGGCGTTTAGTCACGTTCCTATGCGTCATTATGGATTCTAGTAATCCCAATATTATTACGTTCTTTGAATGCTCCTATTTAATAAGGAGATGTCATTAAAATCAAAATAATGAGAAAATTTCTCATGATAAATGGCTTAAAGCATATAAGGCTTCAATTATTGGAAGACTAATTATGTAAGGCAGACTCTCCATGAAAGTTCTTTGAGTTGGAAAGCAGTCATAGACGAAGCGGAAGCGAAAATGTCGGCTTGAGTAACGCTAATATTGGTGAGAATCCAATACCTCGAAAACCTAAGGGTTCCTCTGCAAGGCTCATCCACTGAGGGTGATCCACTTTTAGGAACCGTGGAAAATGTCTTCTTCTTGGAAATTTATTTTCTTGTTAAAAGGCTATTATAACATCCCCTTTTCAAACCTAAAGAATCATGGTAAGGCATGGTCCGTGGTAATGTGGGAGATGAAACTTGGAATTCTTATGGTTATTAATGGCAATGCCCCTCTTTTAATGCACAAGTTTGGGTTCCTTTTTTTAAGCTTGGACCGTAATATTGGGATCCTTAAATTTTGATATGCATTACTATAGGCATTTGGCAGTCTACTCAAAATTGACCGTGCCACGCTAGAAAGTGAGGCTGGTAATTTGTTAGAGTTTTTGTGGATATACCTAGATTTGGCAAAAGCTCTTCCAGATGATTCTCTTATGGGTTAAGCGCGAAAGGAATTGGTTTTTTTCACATCGGTAAAATGCCATAATTTTTCAAACTTTTGCAGCCATTTTGTTGTAAAAGGGCCATTCTTTGGCTCATTGTAAAAGGATATAAGAAATAAATGTCTCGTTCAGTTCGTCGATTCAAGTTTTTAATTTCAATTTTACTACATTTAAAAACTCTCAGAATCGATGAAAAATTGAAATTAGTAAAATGAACGAGACTAAAAAATCTTCACATGGCAGACCTTATTTATTGGAAAAAGAATCATGTCCACTTCAACTTTATGCTCAGCGTTGTGGTAAAGTACTAAAACCCGCACTTCAGGACACATAAATTATGGATACAAAGAAAAATAGTGAACAACTTTAAGGCTACGCTTTATCCTCACGCGCTGTACCATTACCTTCTTATTAACGGTTAGGGTTTGCTTATGAAATGGATCACTAAAGAACAAACTTGATGACATACAATCTCATATAATAGCACCCAAATAGATTGATTTTTGCAAATTATGAGACTAAAGCTAAGAATCTTTCAATAGCTTGGAGAAATACTTGGAGTTCCTTATCCTTTCATTTTTCATGCTGAAAGCCACGGATTTAATTTTACGAATAGTACTAAGGCAGCAAATAATCACCATATGGATCATTACTAAAAGAGACGTTTTGAATGTGTACACTCCTACTAAGAAGTAGGACAACAAAAACACATTTGAAGGAAGAAATATTGTTAATTTTTACGTTAAATACACATAACAAGACTTCATCACATAATTAATACACAACACAAATGATTAATCACGCTAATGCATGCATATTTGAGGGTAAAGTATACATCGATCGATGCTGTCAAAACCGATCGATAGTGGAAATAAAAGTACTTAAATTTTAGAATTGAAAGATGATTTTGACAATTTAAGTTCATTTATTAGATATAGTTTGTTGGTTCATTTAAAAGTTGATTTAGATGAGGCAACTTGCAAAATATATGTATATAGATATACATACATCAGGATGGTAAGTTTGTTATGCTTATAAATAGCGGTCCCATTTGTTATGCCTACTCATTAAATGTTCAAGCATTTGTACTAAAAAAAAAAGATCGGTAACCATGCTCTCCATTGTCATCTTTCTCTTCTCTGTTCCCTCGTTAGTATTTTGCCAACCTTTCAGTAATTTTCAAAAGTATGATTTGCCATCAGCAGCCGTAGGTCCTTTCTCCATAGCATTTGACTCCTCGGGAAGAGGACCCTTTACAGGTATATCCGACGGCAGAGTTTTGAGATATGATCCTGTACAGAACAGTTTCTTTGATTTTGCCTTCACCAGTCCCAATAGGTAATTAATGGATTGTTTGAGCCCGTTATTTATTTATTTTTTGTTACAAATTCAATACAACTTTGTTAAAAAAAATTCTGTTTAGTTCGCTGATTTGAGTTTTTAATTCGAGTTTTACTACAGTAAAATTTTTTTAGAAATAATCATATTTAATTTTTTTACTGCAGTAAAAAATTTTCACCTAAAATTAAATCTCATATCAAATTAAAAACTTAAAATAGTAACCTAAACAGGCCCCAAAATTTAAGCTCTGATAGACACACATTCTTCATTTTGTAGCTCAATATTACTTCCGATATAAGTGACACGTATTGATCTTGAGTATTGATCATATTCAGGTCAAAGGCAGTTTGTGATGGAACGGATAATAATGATAATCCAACTAGAGGAGCAATCTGTGGGAGGCCATTGGGTGTAAGCTTCCATTTTAGGACAAATCAACTATATGTAACAGATGCTTATAAGGGACTCCTAGTGGTTCCACCAAATGGAAGACTTGCAGAAAATGTTGCCACCGGTGCTGAAGGGGTGCCCTTCAAATTTCCTTTCCTCTTGGATGTTGATCAAGTAACTGGAGATGTATATTTCACAGAATTTAGTTCTCAGTTTCAACTAAGGTATTTAATTTCCTTAAAATACTTTTGCTAAAATTTTATTGTTGCCCTGTGAACTTTAGTCTCTTTATCACTTTGTCCCTCAAACTTTGAAAATTATTTTGCGCACTCCTTAAACTTTGAAATGTTATTAACTTTGTCCTTTATGCTAACTTTATTAACGGATTTTATGAAGTGGCTGTTAGTGGAGGCGTAGTTTGATGGATTATTTTCATAAATGCCATCTGAAGTATGTATCTTATTTAAGAATGTCCAATGATTTATGAAAACAAATCAAAATACCCCTTAATCTACATAGAACATAGTAAAATAACAATTTTGTTGAGGCTGTTGAAAATTAATTAGACATATTAAATTCTTATCAAATTAATGAAAGTGATTAAATATTTAAAAATAATGAAAATAAATATAAACATATTTTACTTTAAAAAATTCAAAAATTAAATAAATCATTTATTTTTTTTTTCAAAAATAAATACCAAAAAGAGAGGAGGAATTTTTTCTTTTTTTTTTTTTTTGAAAAACCTACTCCCTGTTTGCAATATTTATTTAATTTTGAAAAAGTTTCCCATTTTCTTGTTTTGATTTTTGAAAAAAAAATAGTTGAATTATTTAATTTTTGATTTTTTTGAAGTCAAGTGTTTTTACATTTATTCTTTATTATTTTTTAATATTTAATCACTTTTTTTTGAATTAATTAGAATTTAATGTGTTTAATTAATTTTTATTATGTTTTCTATAGATTAGGAGGCGTTTTGATATGTTTTTAATAGATTGGGGGACAATTTTAAATAGAGTACATACTTCGGGGCGAGGGGGGGCGTTTATGAAAATAATATATAAAAAGACCCCTCCAATAGCTGACACGTCATACAATTCCGTTAAAAAAGTTAATAGAAGGAGCAAAGTTTCAAAGTTTGGAGGGTGCGCAGACTCTAACTTTCAAAATTTAAGGGATAAAGTGATAAAGAAATCAAAATTCTAAGAGCAAAAGTAAAATTTATACAATACTTTTTAGTTAGCGCAATGTCTGAACTAAAAAATAATTTCAGTGGGCCACTATAAAAAAGGTTATGGATAACTTTTTATTATTGAATAAAGACATAATCATATATTTCAAGTATTATTAAGTTGGAACACTGTTATAAATTTTGTTTTTTTTTAATAAAGTGAGGGCATTATTAAAATTTATGAGCCAGAATCGAAATTTTATAAAAAAGAGAAAAATTCAGGATAAAACTAATATTCTAAAATGTTAATTATGGACGTGGTTGATGGTTCCACAACTGAGTGAGGGCAAATAACATCCTGAAAGAAGTATGAATTCTTTACATCTCAAATTCACAATTTTGTATTCTGCCACAAATAGTTTTAAAACTGTCTTTTTATGTTTCAAAATTCTTCAAAGAAAAAAAAAAAGTTTACAACTAAAATTATACATGATCATCTGAAAAGAGCAATATATATGACTTTAATTTGCAGCCAAGTCCAACATGCCATCGATGTTCGCGATTCAACAGGAAGGTTGCTAAAATACAATCCCAACACTGGAGAGACAACAGTGCTGCTAAGGGGACTCTCAGGAGCAGCCGGGATTGCGCTCAGTTATGACCGAACTTACCTCCTCATCGCCGAGATGACTGCAAACAGAGTTAAGAAATTATGGCTCAGTGGTCCCAACGCTTTTACAACGGTTGATCTGATCACAGTGCGGGGAAGACCTTCTAATATCAAGAAGAACTCACTCGCAGATTTCTGGGTGGCGGTGAACACTTGGATACCGGGACCGACGGTTGGTTCGATGATTAGGGTTCCGTCGGCGATAAGAATTTCTGGAACAGGTGGTGCTATTTTGCAGACTGTGGATCTTAGTAGCTATTATACAAATACGTCAATTAGTGAATTCCAACCGTTTGGCCTTGGAGGTTACATCGGTGCCCTAAGGGCCGCTTCTCTTGGTCGTGTCAACTAGCTAATAAAAGGTTAATTATTATGTAACCTTGAATAAAAAATCTTTAAAAAGATAATATTCCTTAATAAAAAGAATAAAAAAATCTTTAATAAATATCTGCGTTAGTTTTTTCTTTCTGTTGTGTGGCGGCTTTCACTGCGTTTGAATCGCAAGAAATAATACCTTATCAATTTTTTGTTTTGCTATACATTTATTTAAGTTCCCTATTTTTTTTTTCTTTTTTTTTTTCTAAACATATAAACATATAGTGAAAATGACGATTTTGCCCTTAATAATGGGAGAGAGAAGGGAAAAAAAGAAGAAAGAAACGAGATATTTTTTAACCAAATGATATTTGGTTACAAGGATAACAAATTCTTTTTTATAATGGTTTATAAAAATTGGTTTTCAGGTCAAAAAAATGAGAGAATATTAATAAGGATACAATTGTCATTTTACGTCTTAAAAAAGAGGTTCAGTATCATACTACTAAAAAATATTTTTTAAAAGTTGAGAGTACCCTTTTAATATTATGAAAAGTACATGGTACCAACTCAATGTTTTACTATAAAAGAGGGTACCAACTTGGTTTTATCCCTAAATAAAATAAAAAATCTTGTTTTGTTTTTTTCTTTTCCTTCTGAAATTACTGAAATAATAAGTTGGCCAGTGCTTTTATTTATTTATTTATTAATCAGCCAGCAACTATAGCTGGGTTTCGATGGTTTTTTCTTTCTTTTGTGTGGCGGCTTTCACTGTGTTTTGAATCGCAAGAAATGAGAATATTCTTTTAGACATGATAAAAGACCTAATCTGTTTCTAGTTTGGATTTATTTTTATTTTGCTATATGTTTATTAAGGTTCCTTTTTCTCTCTCTCTCTCTCTCTTTTTGCTTATTTATATATTTTATGTGTTAAATTGACATTTTTTCTTCTTTGCCTATTTAAGATTGAGAATTTTCACATTCTAGCTCAAAACAGATAGTGGGAACAGTGGCATGATTAGTTTCATTTCGTCGTAGTATGGCATAACTTCACAGTTACAAGTATACGAGATGTACACCGTATAATTAGATTAAAAATATGGTCGTAAGTATAGTCTAGCCTAGTGGTAATTTTATATTTAGCTACACCATAAGGTGTTGAATTTAAATTTCTCACCCTAAATTTTTAAAAAAAGAATAGGAGTTAAAAATAATGCCATGAAGCTATCACACTCTTGTTCAATTATTGGAGAAATATGCTTGGCCGATTTCAATTGTTTTTTTTAAGAAGAGAAACAATGTATATATTAATATCAGTGTGCATCCTAATTAGTGTTGTCATATGTGTGTGGGTTTTTTATTTATTTTTATTTTTTTATTTTAATAAAGGTAGTATTCTTATTCAACTTAAATAAATATTTAAATTGTAAACAAAATTATAGAAACGTGACCAATTTTAAAATAAGAAACAACTCATTGTAGTAGACAAAACAGTTAATTTATTAATCATTATTTCTTTAAACAAATCAAGGAAAACACCGTGTAAGTAAGATCTACAAGCGAAAGAAAATCGAGTTTCTAAAACAAATACATATTCGGCTTTTTACGCAACGCCTTTCTTTTCATTATTACAATAACATATGTACATGTATTGTCTTTGTCGCACTTCATCTGTCTAAAAAGTCCAGATTTTGCCCTTGAAACTAAGTTACAAAACTAATAAGAAACAATGCTCAAAATGCTAATCTATATCTATAGATTATACACAAGGGAGAGAATGAGCTTTAAACATTTGTACTTCAACATACTTGTGTACTTGCTTGTAAGTGTTTTATTTATTTATTTTTTCCTGTTTTTTGCTCTTTTTTTATTTAGAAAATTAAGCATTTAATTTTTTTTCTTCATTAGTTTCTAGTATTCTTTCAAACTAATTGTCTTCAAATATGTCCTTATTTAATTTTTTAATGCAGCTTTTTAAAATATTCTTTTCTTAGAATATGGTCTATATGTATTCATACAAGTTTTTTCCCATTCTTTTTGCCTCTTTATGTCTTTCATTAAATTATTGTTTCTCTAATTTACTCTTTAGAATAATTTTTCTCAAATATGTCCATACTAAATATTTATTTTTCAAAAAATATTATAAAATATTATATTTCTAAATTTATGACACTAATAAATATTATTCTAACCAATTGCCCCACAAAAGAATTTTTCATGAATGTGTCAAAACAATTTTGAATTTTATATTTTACTATTTAAGTGTTTTGACAAACCTTAATACCTCTTTTACTTTTTTCTTTGAAAATTGAACACATGCTTGCTCTTGTTCCCCCTTTTTTTTAACTTATCTTCTTTTCTTTCAGTTTTTTTAAACTATTTTTATAATAGTTTTTATCTGACTTTTTAAAAAAAAAATAATTTTCTTAATTAAGTCCCCACACTTAAAACATTTCTACACGTACACTCTCATAAATTATTATTTTCTAAAATCTGATCCTAATAAATACTTTTTTTTTCCATAATTTGTCTTAAATGCATCAAAATTATTGTTTTTAATTTTATAATTTCTATTATAGTGTTACATCTAAAACACATATTGTGATTTTTATAATGAGTCTCGGATTATTAATTATTGGAAACGCTTGGGTCCACTCTTTTTCACGGTTTTATGTTTTTGTTTTCATAAATATTTCAACCTGTTAATCTCTATGTACTTTAGTCTATATATCTACATTAGACATAAATTGTCTTTATACGTTTTTTTTCTTCTTTTTCATTTGTCATTATATAATATGAGTTCTTTTACTTTTGTCCATGTAATTAAATTAGCAATATTTATTCATGTTTGCATCTCTATGCTTGGAGATGTAAAGCTATTTATTCATGTAAATTAGTTATATATATTTTCGTTGTTCTCGCTCCTTGTTTTTATATTTGTGAATTGTCAAATTGTAACTTCTTGATGAATATCTTACTATTTTGATAATGTAATTTCTTGCCCGAAAAACTGCGGATCAATGTGTACTTATAAGTCAGGCCAAATTACTACACGTAGGCCCCCTATGGAAAGATTTGGAAAAAAGTACTTCCAGTATTGTTTATCAGGGAAAGTTATCCTTATTACTTGTTTTATCAGTATTACTACACGTAATTATTTTCATATATGTTAGGTAATTTTTTATTTTAGTCTTGCGTAACTTTATGTACTATGTACTTGTAATGTTTATTTATATAAAGCCTCATTCCTATTGCTCTTTAGACATTCTCTCTTTTCCTAATTCAGTATCTTACCAAATCATGTTAAATTTCTTTTATTTTCTTCATATTTTTATTTAATCAATATTATTATTGATTTCATTACAGAAGCACATTTAACTATTTTTTTTTTTTCTTTTGTGTGAAACCGTCATTAGATGTTAACATAAGATGATTGACTCTTCCACACGCACAGGCATGCATAGAATTACATAGAGTAGGTTATGGCGACAAGTAGTTTTGCCTCCTGGGATTTATGAGTTTTTAACTTCTGCCCCTATTAACCTCTCAACTATTTTTGCCTAATCATCTTTCCTTTATACATTTATCATTTTGGCTGCATTTTATATATCGTCATTAGATAAATCCTAATTACACTTTTTATTTTTTCCTTTAAAAGTGGAATGGATAAAAGGATTACTCAAAAGCCATATCGGCACTAATAACATAATCAATACATTCAGGAGTTTCTTCTACCGAGTACTGAGGAACAACTAAAGAAAGGCTGAGTTTTCCTAGCGTGTGGGCTGCTACATTATGATTAATATATATAGCTGCAAGATCCACCACCAACAATAGAGATAAGTAGTCTAATATCAACTAGAATAGGCTCTTCCGCCTGAATTCTGGACAAATTTAATCACCGAAGAGGAATCATTTTCTAGCAAAGAGATATGAAGAGACCGCTCAAAATCATCCACAAAATCATCAAGTTTTCTGTCCTTCCAAACCATCCACAAAAAACGAACACAACAGCTCAAAATCATCACGTTTGAGGACTTTTGCCATAAATACACACACACACACACACAAGATAAAATAATCAAATTGACCTCCTTTGAACCTTGAGGCATGATCTCTGGAAATGCTAGCTAGAACTCCACACTGCATTAGACATCAAGCACAAGACAAGCGCATGAAACACAAGGTTTGATTCTCGTAATCCCGATATTATTATGTTCTTCGAATGCTTCTATTAAACAAGGAGAGATGTCGTTAAAATTAAAACTAATGAGAAAATTTCTCATGACAAATAGCTTAAAGCATATAAGGCTTTAATTATTGGAAGACTAACTACGTAAGACAGAATACTCCATGCAAGATCTCTGAGTTGAAATCACACCTTTATAGGAACCGTTGAAAATGTGTCTTCTTCTTGGAAATTTATTTCTTGGTAAAAAGCTAATATAACATCCCCTTTCCAACCTAGAAAATCATGATAGGCACTTATAAATTCGACAAAAGATCTTCCAGATCATTCTGCTTAAACGGGAAAGTTGTTGTTTTTTCATATCGGTAGAGCGAAAATTTTTCAAACTTTTGCAGCCATTTTGTTATTTAGGGCCATTCTTTGGCTAGTTGTAAAATGATATATGTTAGGACTTAGTTGGTAATTTGTTGGCATTGGTAGTAAAAATTTATAAAATGGTATTTTTGGCAACTGAAATTTATGGAGAAGATTAGAGGTGATTTTGGTTGCTTGATTGGTCTCAATATGGAATGTTCTTGTTGATGGAAGTATGATTTTGGCAAGGTAATTTTAGAGAATAATTGGGAGAGTTATTTGAGGAAAGAATATTAGATGGATTGTGTGATGGGTTATTTCTAGTGACATGAAAGTCATGGGGCTGATTGTAGTTTTTGGATGAATTATTTCTCAAAAAATGTGTGAAAGTCATGGGGCTGATTGTAGTTTTTGGATGAATTATTTTTGGAAAAATGTGTACCGATCAGTGGGTGCGTGAATTGTATTTTGGGTATGTGAGAATTGATTATTGG